GATCTGAGTCTTCCCAACGGCGGATCCCTCTACTATAGATACACCTTGACCGATCCTCAGTCGAGCACCCTCGCCGGACTCAAGAAGCAGTTCCAGCATTTTGATAACATGGACTTCCGCACCCTGGACATCTCCAAGGACTTGGCCGAGCAGGGCTTTAAGGAAGAGGACAAGTATGATCTCATTGTCGCAACAAACTGTGTCCACGCTACTCCAAGCTTGTACGATTCTCTGACCAACATCCGTAAGCTTTTGGCACCCGGAGGCCGCCTCCTCTTGCAAGAGCTTAACACCCAGACGAAGTGGGTCAACTGCATTCTTGGCTTCCTTGACGAATGGTGGATTGGCGAAAACGACGGGCGACCTGACGAACCCTACGTTTCTTCGGAGCGATGGGAGGCCGAGCTGAAGCGCGCTGGCTTCGCTGCTCCAGCCATTGCGCTAGACTCGCCAGCTCCATACCAGTCCCACGCTGTCATCATTGCGAGACCGGAAGAAGACACCAAGCCAGCCGAGAACAAGCATGTCACTGTGCTAGCATACAAGCATGATGGAAAGAATGTCGATGCTGTCAGTCGGAAGCTCCAGAGCCGAGGCTACAAGGTCAGCAAGTGTAGTTTCGGGGCTGAGTTGCCGCAAGAGTCTCAACATGTGATCAGTCTCCTTGACGAGGAAAGCCCCTTCTTCGAAAACATTGACCAGCACCGTTTCCAGGCTTTGCAAAAGTTCATTGCCAATATTGGCGACCAGGGCTTCTTCTGGATCACCCGCCCATCTCAAATGCAGTCTGCGGATCCGCGATATGCGACTGTGATTGGTGCCATCCGCTCCATTCGCCACGAAGACACCATCGACTTTGCTACCTGCGAGGTTGATGATGTGAGCGCTTCACTAGACCTGGTCGCTGATGCTTTCACTCACTTCCAGAAGCAGAAGGAAGATGAGTTCTTCAGGCCCAACTACGAGTACGCGATTGTCAACGACACTATCAATGTACCTCGCTTCTACCCCTTCACCTTTGGTGATGAGCGCACCTCTAGCCGTGCCACTAACGAGCGCGTATCTCTGGTGGCTGAGAGGCCTGGTCGTCTGAACACTCTAGGTTGGGTGTCACGTCGAACTCAGCCTCTGGTTGGAGACCAGGTCGATGTCGAGGTCTTTTACTCTGAACTTACACCCAAGGTACGTTTAATTTCCCTCTATAACGCTCACTTCATGCATTCGATAGAATCTGATTCGTTTCTAGGATATTGCCGAAGTCATGGGCAACAGCCCGTACCCTGCTGGAGGTCTTGGCAGAAGCGCCGCTGGTAGAATCTCTGCCATCGGACCCGACGTCAAGGGTTTCGCTATTGGCGACCGTGTAATTGGTCTTGGCTCTGGTAGCTTCTCTTCACATCTGCGTGTGTCAGAGAAACTGCTTGAGAAGATTCCTGATAGCATCTCGTTCGAAGAAGCAGCAACTCTTCCTGCTGCGTTTGGAATGGCACTTGCAGCTCTGCACTCTACCGGAAACCTACAAATTGGACAGGTAAGCAAACTTCCCCTCCATCTTTGCCTAAGAAATGGAGGAAAGTGAGGATTCTGAGCTAACATGACCAATAGTCTGTTCTCATCCACAACGCCACTGGCAATGTTGGCCGCGCTGCATTGCAACTCGCGAAGGCGTCAAAGGCAGACGTATATGCAACTGTTAAGACTGAGGAGGAAGCTAAGTACCTCATTGAAAATTTTGATATTCCAAAGAGTCATATCTTCTCGTCTTTGGATGACAGCTTCTTGCAGGGTGTTCTGGAAGCAACGGGTGGAGAGGGTGTTGACCTTGCTCTGAACTCGCTGTCTGGTGATCTTTTGCACGCTACCTGGAAGTGTGTTGCTGAGTTCGGAAAGATGATTGAGATTGGCACTACGGATCTTGTTGGGGCGGGTAAGCTGGAGCTGAACGCCTTCTTGGGAGGTAGAAGCTACACTGGTGTCAATTTGGAGGCTTTGGTAGCCAAGAAGCCGGCTGTTGTCAAGGGGTAAGTGCATACACCGAGACGCCTTTATGCCATGGGACTTAGAACTAACAATATGCTTTCCTTGCAGACTGCTCCAATCGACGGTCAAGTACTTGAAGGAGGGCAGCATTACTCCAATCAACTCTCGGGTGGTGTATGAGGCTGCGGGCGTCGAGGATGCCATCAAGCACGTGCAAGAGGAAGAGGAACTAAGCCAGGTTGTTCTCCAGCTCAGGGACGCAAATGGCGAGCTCAAGATTAACGCCAGCACGATCAAGGTCGCTGATGACTTGTTCACGGTTGACAAGACAGCCTCATACCTGCTCGCAGGAGGTTTGGGTGGTATCGGCACCGTCATTGCCAGGCACTTGGTTGAGAATGGAGCCCGCCGCATCGTCTGCTTCTCACGAAACCCTGGAACACGCCCTGAAGACATTAACACCATCCAAGAACTTGAGAGCATGGGCTGCGAAGTTGTTCTTGTCAAGGGCGACATCAGCAACAGGGAAGACGTTTTCCGCGCCGTTAAGCAATCGCCCAACCTTAAGGGCATTCTTCACTCACCCATGTTCCTCCAGGATGAGGCATTCCGCAACATGACGGTGGAGCAGTGGATCAAGGCCACCAGTCCAAAGGTCAAGGGTGCTTGGTACCTCCACGAGGCTACAGTTGGAGCCGGTATCAATCTCGACTTCTTCGTGTTCTTGTCATCCATGTCTGGCGCCATCGGCCAGCCTGGTCAGGCCAACTATGCGGGCGCCAACACTTTCCTAGACGCCTTTGCATTGTGGCGCAACAGCAACGGACTTCCAGCATCTTCCATCGATATTGGTGCTGTTGCCGACATGGGCTACGCCGCCCGTGATCAGCAGCTGCTGCAGAGGCTCATCAAGAACGGCTACTCTGGCGTCACAGAGTCCGAGATGATCGAGGCTTTCCGCGCAGCAGCGTCATACCCCGTGCCCTCCCTCAACATCAACACCAAGAAGAGTGCCTTTGCCCACAAGAACACATTTGCCACGGGCTTCGGCTCCGACAAGTCGTTCACCCACCCTGAAAACCGTACCTTCTGGAAGAAAGACCTCCGGACGGGCGTGTGGTACAACATCAGCGACGGCGACGAGGGCAAGGGAGGCAGTGGCAACGACGGCTTCAAGGCGTTCCTCTCCGCGGCCAAGAACGACGCCGAGACGCTCGTCAAGCCTGAGACGGCGGTCTACTTTGGCACTGAGATCGGAAAGCAGCTCATGCGATTGCTGCTGCGACCCGATGATGAGGAGCTCGACATCACGATGCCCGTGCAGCAACTCGGTCTCGACTCGCTCGTCGGCATCGAGCTGCGCAACTGGTGGAGACAAACGTTTGGCTTTGACATTAGTGTGCTGCAGCTTTTGGGCTTTGGAACGTTGGAGGAGCTGGGTAAGCAGGCTGCAGGTGGTTTGGCTAAGGCTATTGGCGGTAAATGACCAGAGCTAGAGTTTGGGCACATTTCCTTTGTTTGGGTGTTTTTGTTCTTAATCGCATTGATAGTAGCTTTTATGTGGTTTTTACTAGCAATTCGAAAAGTGTTTAATAGTTCTTTTTTTCTTGGATACATATGTATATATGAATATTTATTCAATTTAGCATCTTGATTTCAAGCAATGAATGCATAATTTGTTCTTCCCCCAGCAGCTACCATCTCTAAGAGAAGCGTAGTATGCGGTTAGTCCTGACCTGTTCAGCAGGCGACTGGACCTCAGCCACTCCAGCATTGTCTGCAGTTGCTTGACGACCAAGAATATGTCCATTGCTTTCGATGGGTTTTTTGTCTCCTGCATGGAGTCTCACACCTTCGTTGCACGCAGCAAGAATTGCACTGAGGTCTAGTTTGTCTGCAACCACGCTTACCGCAATACCCTGGTCTCTGACAGTGACATCTGAGATGTCCAGCTGAATCTTGAGCTCTTCACCCGTTTCTGAAATGACGCCACTGATTGCGAGTCCCTGTTCTTTCACTGTAACTCCTCTTATCGACACATTGGTTCCAGTACGTTCGGACATTGTCTTGCTGAGAGCCTCCTCGCTAAGCTGGCAGTATGCCTGGCTCGAGGACTTCAGGTGCTGCAGCTCGCTTATCAGCTCCTTCATTTCTTCTTTGGACTCGTCATCCACCGAGGCTGGAAAGGGCTCCTGTTGTACCTGTCCTGAGTCATTGCTTGCAATGTCTGAAGCTATGTTTAGCTGTCTTATCTTCTCCTCAATGTTAGTTTCAACCCCTTTTGTCACGACAATCTTTTTCCCGATATCCTTTTCATGTTTTTCCAGCTGTTTAGCCTTCTCGGATATTGTGTCCGGCGTAAATGCTGGATTGGAGAGCCTAGCATATCTGCGTTAGTTATCTACACAATTGAATACTATCACTAGTGGATGTTGCAATACTTACATTACTACAGTCGTGAGTGCAAGTTGAAGTGTGGCTTTATAGTTATCTAGTTGGCCCCTAAAGGCATCGATCTTCCTCTGGCAGAAGATTGCAATCTTTAACCTGTCAACCTTAGACATCCTGTCCTCAGTCGAATGTTGCATCGTCTGGTTCAGCTATTCACCGAAGCTTTTGCATGCGCCTTCGCAGTTTTCGAGGCTACGTGTAATGATTGGACCAGCTAGTAGACCTTGAGTTGTGTTTTGCGCGGCTAATACCGGGCGCAAGGCAGCCTAACCTAACAACCCAGCTCTCTATTTGTTTGTACCGCTTATATGCATGTGTATCTTCCATGCTAAGCATCAGTTTTGCGTTCCTGATTCTGAGAACTTTCACTTACAATTAGCGAAGGCTGTCCAGGCTTTTTAAGAGTACGATACGCGAGGTGGATCTTTCAAGAAGTCGGGACCCCCACCACTATAGACTGCATGTATTCGCATACCAATGCATATCTTGTTTATTTTTCCAAAAATTGTTGTCCTGCGACAATTCTATACTCTTGTTGCTAATACTTTGATGCATCGATCGAAACCGGAATGGGGAGCGACCCACAAAAGGTTGATATCAGTGGAGGACATGTAAGTGGCAACGGGGTGCAAATTAATGCCCATGTACGAGAAGGTGGTTTACAAATTCCGAGCGTCTTCACCCCGAGAGGTTAGTGAACCCATCTCGCTTCCGACCTGAATAGTTGAGACAGGTTTTGCACACTTCCACTCTCTCGGGTGCCTGCAACTAATACAATTACTTGATAGACGCCGAGGAGGAAGCGGCACTCGCATGTCGTGACGCGTTGTATCTCACTGATCCCGAAGTCGACCGCGAGAGCGTGATTAGTGCGAAAGGTACGAGAGTCGCGGGTACGTGCGAGTGGATCACGCAGAACGAGACCTACCGCACCTGGCTTAGGAGCGATAGCGACAGAGACAATGATGGAGATGGCAATGGCGATACGCGACTCCTGTGGATCTCTGGCGGGCTCGGCAAGGGCAAGACGATGAGAGAGTAGCTAGCGATATTGAGCTGTTCGTGTTCGCCCCAGTAGAGGAGCTGTCTGGTATCGAGGGCTTTAATGACAAATTTCGCAAGTCTGTACACGACAGTCTTCTCCGACGCACTGAAGGATGGGTAGGCTTCGCAATGCACGAATCATCACAGAAGCAGACATGCATTAAGGTTTAGGAGACGCTTAAGGATCTACTTACTAGCCTTCCAGCGATATACAGTTATATGCTGCTACGGATCCCAGCGAAGTAGAGAATACTAAGCTAGGCAATCTTGTAATAGGTAACTATAGCTGTTCGCCCTCCACAACTAAAAGAGCTAGCGGCGGCAGTAAATGTCGAGGCTACTCCTTAAATGACTGTAGAATATATAGCACGCGACGCTGTTACTCTGTGCGGACCTCTACTAAAGACATAGGAGGAGAAAGTAAGCCTCGTCTACTAGTTAGCGCAGGACTACCTGCTGCGCATAGAGTGCGATGGTAATACAGTACTTAAGACGTTTTAATTCAACTTAGAAAGTACACACCTCGAGCTTATACAAAAGTGTCTTGAATATATTTCACAGAGCGACTTGCGATACAGAATTATTAATCTAGACGTTGAGCTAGATTGCTAATTGCCTCCCCTCTTACGATATGCAGCGCTCTACTAGCCTAAGCACGCAAAAAGCTGTCACGCACTAGCAGCAAAGCTCTTAGACCTTTCTGAAATCTTCTGCTAAAAAGTATCTCATTTGCGCGAGCATTGGTGGAGGACCTATTTTGGGGATATAGAATGTGAATATGAGGCCCCACCATTACTGCATATGGCATGCAATTTGGAAACTATACCATGGGTAGAGGCGGTGCTGGCAAAACGCCGCCTGATAATTTTTCGCTATTTTCCAATAGACAGCAAGGACGGAGCTGGGCGAACGGCACTATACTTGGCAATGAGACGAGGAGATGAGGTACTAGTGCGGCTGCTATTAGAGAGAGGAGCAAACCCTAAGACAAAAGACAATTGGGGGCAATCGGTACTATACTTGGCAATCGAGCAAGGGAATGAGGCAGTAGTTCGGCTGCTATTAGACAGAGGAGCGGACCTTGAGGCGAGGGACAAGCAAGGGGCGACAGCGCTGTTCTTTGCGGTTCTGGGTAGGAACGATTCGATAGTGCGGCTACTACTAGATGAAGGGGTAGACATCGAGGTGAAGAGCGGGATGGGAATGACGGCGCTGCAAGCAGTAGCTGTGGGAGGGAACAAGGCGATAGTGCGGCTACTTATAGATAAAAGAGCGAACGTTAACGCGACAGACATGGTTGGGAAAACAGCACTGGAATGGGTCGAGAGAAATCACCCGGGGATACATCAGCTGCTACTAGATGCAGGAGCGGAGCCCAGGGCGTAGGATAGTAGGCAAAATGAATAGCCCTTTAGCGAATGTTTTCTAACAAGACTAAAATTCAGTATGATGAAGCTGCCCACCGTCACAGTGATGTATGTATTCCTGCTACTATCTTTGATAATTTGCTCTACAATATACATTTCTATTCGATATCATCGTACTGATGTCTAAATATTCGCGACCTTTTCGCATTTTAGAACGTCAGTGGTACCTTCATAGTAGCTACCTCTAACGAAGATAAAAAGACACAAAGAGAAGTAGAGACCTCTGCAGGCTAAGCGTCCTGTATAATGCGTGACTAGCAGTCGATCGTGTAAGCTATTCTATCATGAGCTGCTTGCTTTGAGCCTTGTCTTGTTACCTTCTTTCTTATATAACTCCGCGGAAAGAGGGGGGGGGAAGGACAATGATTACCTTTTGGCGTTAGGCATCCAACGTGCGCATACTATCTTCTTGCGAGCTAAGAGCGCGTTGAGATACAGCGTAAGGCGAATTAGTTAAGTTTAACATGTTTGTTATATGGATTTCGGTAGAGCTTACAAGGGATAAATCAAGAATCACTTCCATGGTTTTGTTTAGCGTTTGGTAGGAGCTGTACGCGTTATGTGATTACGACTGCTGTGGCCTAGTATCCAACATGTGATTAGAAGTAACCCTTCCTCTAGGTCTCATGTCAGAGTACAGATTTAGTTACAGTCGCTAGCGAATCCGGTTTCCGCCCTGCACACTCAGATGGTCACTTTTGTCTCCACACTCGTTGGTCGTACATCACGTGATTTGGCGGGGGTGGCTGCCAAATGTCCAGGCATAAGCGATGGGACGACTTTTGGGTTCATTACACTCCCCGCCAGGACTATCCAAAATTCACACAATTCACACTTCAGAGCACGATGTCTACTTTCCCATCCCTTGGTTGTTATCGCGAACCTTTGTTACCAGACAGCATTCGATTACTTCGCCTACTTCCTAGTGAAGACGAAACAGCGCCCATCCAATGCGAGCTCTTCCACTACTCTCTGCAGGAATCAGGCAGATGAACGCATCCATATGAAGCTCTGTCCTATGTTTGGGGTCGCGCAGACAATCCTCAATCTATCTTCATACGGGAACATGATCCCACGAGCGGAAATGGCCTACCCGTGACGCAAAACCTTCACGCGGCGTTGGCACGTCTGCGATACTCTCTTTTTGAACGAATCATATGGATCGATGCTGTCTGCATCAATCAAAACGATGATCGAGAGAAAGAGCAACAAATTCAGTTCATGGCAAAGATCTACGCATTAGCAAATCGTGTAATTGTTTGGCTTGGGGAGGTAGCAGAAGACAGCGATCAAGCGCTCCATTGGATACGCGCTGCTGGAGGCACCATGCCGCAAATTCCCCTTTGCGACGGAATGTCTCAGCAATCAGTTACTGCTCTACTTCAACGACCGTGGTTTCGGCGCATCTGGGTATGAAAGACGTGTACTTTTTCCAAAATTTATATGGTACTAATAGATGTATCCAGGTACTGCAGGAAGTTGCTGCGGCGCGTCATATACAAGTTATGTGTGGATCTAAGGAGATGGATGGATACGCTTTCTCTTTAGGTGTAGATTCGTTTCAAGGTTTTGACAACGCTCATCCAGGCTTGCAGAGTTTAACCCGTTCAGTAACCTACCTGGTAAGGGGATCAATCTTTAGATCTAGCTTCCCTATAAGCAGATCAGATAGGTATTCTCTGGATATCTGCCCACTAGGGGAGCTAGTGGATTTGTACCGTGCCCATGAGGCTACCAAGAGCCATGACAGGGTATTCGCCTTACTGGGTATGAGCTCTGATGATCTCAGCAAATCAAGGCTATTGCCTGATTACACCGTTTCCTGGGAAGAACTCTTAAAGCGACTTACCAAGTATCTACTGTGTGAAGAGATATCTGTAGAGATTTTGGGAGTTGATCGCGAGATTGCAGTCATCAAGGGCAAGGGCTTTGTTCTTGGCAAAGTGTCATTTGTACAAAGCAACGCCGTTCAGAATGAGAGAGTGGATGTGGATGTCATTTTTAAGAATGGGGAAACAAGCAATTGTCTACCTCTTCAGACATCAACAACATCCGTCCGAGATGGAGACATCATTTGCCTTCTCCAAGGCGCTTCGAACCCAACGATTATCAGACAACGTCGAGATCATTTTGAAGTCATAGCAATCGCAGCTAGGCCTTTAAAGGAGATTCCAGTGATAGCTGGACCTATTCATTGGTCAACATTTTTACAATCAGAAATACCCTTCGTCTACGATTTGATACTTATCTGGGACTGGGAAATTTCTTTAGAGAAGTTACAACACCCAGAAAGATACGATCGGGTGTTAGGATGTTTGACGGAGCTTGGCGGCTCTTTGGAAAGAGCAAATAGAATATGGACCGTTGCACGAGTACTAGCAGATGTGAGAAAAAGTAAAAAGGCGCGAAAAAGACTTCAAGAGGCAGTCATGGGCTATGAGACAGCATTTGGGATACAGCATTCGGACGAATTGGAAACGGAACACGATTTGACACCGTTATCATGGGCCGCAAAGAATGGGCATGATGCTGTAGTACACCTATTGCTTGCAAAAGATGATGTCGATCCGGACATGAAGGATAGTCAATCGAATCGAACGCCACTTTCGTGGGCAGCCGAGAAAGGGCACGAAACTATAGTACAATTAATACTTTCAAAAGATGATGTCAATCCGGGCTTGAAGGATGTGTCTGGTCGGACGCCACTCTCATGGGCAGCTGAAAAAGGGTACGCAACTATAGTCAATCTACTCCTTAGTACAGGTACTATTAGAGTCGACTCTAGAGACAAAAAAGCAAGGACACCGCTCTGGTGGGCAGCTGAAAGAGGGCATGATAATGTGGTCGAGCTACTACTTCAGACAGATAAGGTTGATGTCAACTCTGAGGACGCACCGTCCGGTCGGACGCCGCTCTCGTTGGCAGTTGAGAGAGGGCACGAGGATGTGGTTAGGCTACTACTTGATACAGACAAGGTCGATGTCAACTGGATGGACAAATTTGGTCGCACACCGCTCTCATTGGCAACTAAGGCAGAGAACGGGGTCATTTTCGAGTTGCTGCAATCAAGCACTAGATAGCTTTTCTCATCATTACTCTCCCGTCTACTGCCCCACTACACACGCAAGGTTCTCATATACTTTGTAATAGAAAGTATCTAGAAATGCCTTTACTTAGAAAACTATTGCTTTAGAACACTCCCCGAAGCTCGAAATCAATCCTGATATTAGCAGGAAGATTGGTTGTCTCGTCCCTGCTATTGATTTTCCCTATGACTGCGTAATCTCAACATATATGTAGTACATCAAGTCTGATGGCTGTTCGAACACTTTTGCGTTGGGATTGTCTCCTAGCCACTCTAAGCAAACCATGTTGTGGTATCGTATCACGTGATCAAGCTGGAGATATATATCATGGCTTCTTTTAGACTTTGTAGATCGACTGCCTTCTTCACTCGATGCAATGAAGGCATTAGATTCCCGCTCTGCTATATCAGCTCGATTGCAGATCGCCGCTTGATCTTTTGAGCTCAATGTTGTATCGTGCCACCATATAAGATACGTTTGCGCTA